ACGATGATGCTGTGTCCACTGCTGTTGCTCATCCGTGGCCGGAGTGGGATCAGTTTGTTGATAAGATGAGGAACAAAGGGTACTTTGCGAAAACTATGGAGGAGTCCTCGGATGCGGCTTCGCCCTCGTCGTCTTACTCTGCTGCTGCTATGGATCTCAACAGAGTCAAGAATGCATGTCTTTCGTTCGCGCGAGAGCGTTATGATATTATCAAGTTCGGTTTTTTTTAGCTCATACTTTCAATTTTAGTTCTTGAGCAATCAGTCGTCTAAATTTAGGTGTTTATTATAGTGTCAGGCAATTGGTTATCACCAAATTGCAGTTTTTTTGTTCAAGTTTGGTTTTTTGCTTAAGAGTATAGCCTTCATGTCTGTATCTTAGAATCGCAGGGAGATCAGGGTGGAGTGTGGTGTTCTTATTTGAATATAGTAATTGCTGATGTTCGGGATGATTCATGAATTTGTGTACAGTTTGTTTGCTCAATATAACTATTGATTTATAACGCACAAATTCGCAAACAATGAACTATACGCAAATGGAAACCTATAACTACGACAGGCGACAGCGATTTACAGCTGTGGCCTGATGTGCAAATATAATGGAAGTCAATGGTAAAAAATGACTACTGGGTTCCATTATATAATTTATATTTGTACATCAGGCTAACATTGTAAATTGTTGTCGTAGTTCTAGGTTTCAATTTCTGTGTAGTTCATTGTTTGTGGGTTCGACTGTTTATCGATAGTCGGCAAACCAATTTTCACACCTTGGATAGTTTATAGATTGGCTGCTGAACTGCAGAATAGTAACTTAGAAACTTGCCTTGTAGCTGATTGACTGCATTTTGCCTCACTAGTCAGGTCCTTTTTTATCACCATAGAGTCAAAACTAGGTGTGGGAATATGCGCTAAGTGATATTATGCGAAATGATTGGTTCATTGGGAGTTAGAGATTATTCCAATAAAGGATAAAATGAGAGAACCAATTGAGATGGTTTGGCTAGCGCAATAAAAACAACTAAATATACTAATTTGGAGAAATGATAAGAACTATAACTAATGGAGCAAAGGAGGATTAGAGATAGTGATTAAGAAGAATAGTCATTAATTTAATGACGAGATACCTCAAATAGAATTGAGTGTGGAAAAGTAGGATTCATGTAGATGAGCTAAAATTTGGATAGAGGCTTTATTGTTGCTATTGTTAGGGTTTAGCTTCTCTTTTTAAGGCTAGGTCTCAGAATCTACATGCACTCCGTTTGCATGTAGTTATTAAGAAATGGATTTTTCATCATATCCTGTAGAATTTGATTTGGATCCTATTCACAGCAATTACATACACGGAGACACCCTTTATCTTCGTGGTTGAATGTGCTCTTTACTTGTCTCCTTCTTGTGCTGCTCATACTGGGTGATGAGGACCAAACCATCTGGGAGGAGATGATGCTGACTGCCATTAAAAGCTACTATATTTCCAAAATCTTGAAAAATCTACGGCAACATTCATGCACCCAAATCTTAAGTAGTAATAGACCTAAATATAAGGAGGGATACCTGAAGTTCTGGCTATAAAGGCAGTGAGGCGCATCACAATAAATAATTTAGACTTACATGGGACATGTGCACTAGATGTGAGACTCTTCATATTATCCATATCATTTCCACAGAATAACGGGATATAAATTCTGTTCACATGCACCATTATAAGGACAAAATGACTAGGTTGATTTGGTAAAAGTTGCTTTTTGTCTGTGCTTATAACCTGCTCTCATTATGTGCTTTCTAGATGTTTAAATTACTCCCGATCAGTACTTAGCAAGGTGTACGTCATGGTGCTGAAATATCATGCTTTAGTATATTTTACATCCAGGATGTCAGTTTATTCATGATTGCAACTTTTATGCATGAGAATAAGAAGACATACACACGCACATGCATATGTGTATATGCATGAGAATAAGAAGGCATACACTGGCACATGCACATGTGTATACACACACAAGTAAATGTAGGTAATTGATCTCGTATTTGTAGGAATAATAGACTCAATTTAGCAGCATTTGTTTATCTATCTCATGAGGTTGATTAGTTTTTTTTAGAAAAAAAAGAGAGATACAAATTTGGATCTTTCTGTGAGTAATATAAAAGTATTCTCTATATTCTTTATACTCCTTTCTGTGATTTAAATGTAATGATAATATTTTACTTTTTCGATTGGATGAGAAATAGCCAAGTTGTAGGGCATGGAAGCGAAGTGTCATCTCATGTTCGGTTGAGTAACATTGCGAAATTCGGAAAACTAGAGTGCCTTATAACAATGATATTTTTGGTACAATTATACTTTAACATATGATGTGGGGCTTAGGCATAAAAACATGTCTTGTTTAATCACTTATGTCCTGACAAAAACTGTATTTTACTAACCTTGGGACCTTTAATATCCCTTGATGTACAAGTCATAGATTTTAAAATATCTTTTTTGCCTTTTTGCATATTATAATTACTTCTCCAATTTAAATTCTAAACCTCCAAGAATCTATCTTGCAGTGATTAGATTTTTGGATAGTGCTTGCCCATAGGTGAAAGCACCAAACATTGAATTCCCAAAATTTCTGTACGCTGTGTTTTCCATTTTATATTTCATTGTCTTGCTGTGGATGTGTACTGTCTGTGTCCCTTATTTTTTGGGTTGAGTTTTCAGCAGCATATGATGAATTTTATGTTTAGTCATTTTCTTTAAAATGAGTTTTAGGAACCATAAGTTTTTTACTTGGAATCCATCATTTGAATCTAGTGAACCAGTTGTGCTACTATATTCTTTCCAGCTAATTCTTTCAAAAGCTCAATATTGTGATATGTAACTACTTCAGAAACTTGTATACTGACACCAGCTAAAACATTCTGAACATTAACCCTTATTCTTCTTATGACACAGATCTTTGCCTAAAGAAGATATTCAAACCGTTGTCGAGTGTGGGTGTCCAAATCTATTCCGGAAAGCTGTTAATTCAGCAAAAAGATTGAGAGCATTTCTCAGACTTGATGAAGGAGATGTAAGTACCAAATTCATCTCACAGTATAATCTTTGATAGTCCATGGCAAATTAGCAACTGAATTAGAGGACTTCTTACTGTTGATGCTACTCAGAGCTATGCTTAATGACATCTAAGATGTGATGCTGGAGGAAATGAAAATTGTGTTATATTTTAACTTTGTTGGTGAAAGGTTTACTTTTCTCTAATTGATGCATAACTGTGTACAACCCGATAAAGGTGCACAATCACACAACTAATTAGAAATCTTATGGTTCAGGTATGTGGTGCTTGCAATCTACGTGGATCTTGTGATAGAGCATATACAATTGAGAAAGATGGTGATAAAGCTCGTACTGTGGATATCATGCGTATTTTAATGACTTATGCGGTTGATCCAGCTCTTCATTCAGGGGGAACAAATCCCTCTATGACAGAACATGTTCAGGAGTCTGCTCGGAAGCTGCTCACTGAGCTGATTAAACTAAGTGATACAACCATTGATCCAGCCCTTCCAAAAAGTGAAGTGCTATCTAAAAAGAAAGAATCTTCTGAGAAATCTCGAGAGGTCATTACTAAGAGCAAACATTCAGAACATTCAAACAATGTTGAAATGAAGAGAGGAGACTGGATGTGCTCTAAGTAAGTTTTACATAATGACATTACCTTAAGATTTTCATCCATGCTTTTCAATGCCTTCTTTAGTTACATACAACAAACTAGAGGAATAATAAGTTGTGTATGTTGAGTTTGTGTGCTACTGTATAGTGAGGTCTATTAAGTGCTCAATTTCTTAAATTCTATTAATGGGTGCCATGGCTATGCCTAACCGTGGTATAATATTTGACGTGTCTATAAAATTTTTAGTATGGCAGCAACAGGACATGTTTATTTTATATATCATCTACAGACAGAGACAAGTGCATATAGGCTGTTAATCATATGTCGTAGTATTTGAAATTTAAAAAAATCTCCTTGTTACTTGTGCGATACTCTCATGCACCTCCTTTGGTGGCCATGTTTTAGTAAATGACAACAAAAGCTAAGCAAAAGTAAATGATTTTGCAACTGCATATTTAAAATCAAGTTACTTCAATTGTTAAATACAGGAACACTTGTATGTAATTAACACATCTGGATTTGTCATGTAAAATTCATCTGACGTAATTGTAGTTTTCTATATCCAAGTTAGCCGCTTCCAATTATCTGAAAATCTACTGTCAGGTACCTCTTCTTAAGATAATGAATCGATAGAATTCAACATAAATAATCCAGAGATCCTCAGATTTGAGAGAATAAGAGGCCACAAGTTGCTATCGTAAAGTTTTCTCATGTTGGACTCAAGTTGGCTTAATACTTGTATCTGTATGTTATTAGAATTTTATGGGAATGCCGTATTTATGGCTGTATGCCCTTGTCATTGCAGCATAGGAACTCCTATACTATTCTCTAAATTGCAGCATAGGAACTCCTATACTATTCTCTAAAAAATGTCACTTGATTGCTTGTGTATTACATGTATAGGTGTAATGCTTCTTTACTATTCTTTATAAAGAATATTTCTTTGCACATTGCAAGAGAATTTTCTGTGGTCATTTTCAATTTATTTCAATAAGTGGAACATAAAAAGTTCTGTACTCAACTTTTAAGTGCTCCATTGAACAAAATCTAGAAACTACATTAGAAGGTGACATGATTTAACATTGTAGTACTTTTATCACCCTTGTCTGCTGCAGCTGCAATTTCCTGAACTTTGCTCGAAACATACGCTGTCTGGAGTGCAAAGCAGATGGACCGAAGAGAGTGGAGCCCACAACATTAGAAATGAAGTTAGGGGATTGGACCTGCCCCAAGTAACTTTTCTTTCATGATATCAATTTCATTTTCCGAGCAAAAATTATTGTCATCGTGAAGGAGACTAATACTGTAAGTTGTTTGTGTATCTTAACAGGTGTGAGTTTATGAACTTTGCTCGCAACAAAAAGTGTCACCGCTGCCAAGAATTCAGACCAAAAAGAGAACTTAATCCTGGAGAATGGGAATGCCCAAAGTGAGCCTTCTGCTATCTTATCTTTGTGGTCTATCAATCTTTTGCATTGTTGGTGAAGTGTAAATTTCACAAAATCTTCCTGAACTTTGGGGTATTTTGCACAAGGGCTGCGTTTGGTAGGTTGCAACTGGATTATTTTGTCTAGCTGCAAGTGTTTGTTTCATTGCCATTAGATGTTGCAATTGCAACTAGTTGCAAATGCGCCTTCGCTTTCAACTTCTGACTCACACAATTTTGAGCGAAAATCACCCTTGCAACCTAGTTGCAACCAACCCAAATTTATGGGGAAAAAATTCTCGGCATTATCATTTAAAATTGCAAAAAGTTAAGAACTTCATTAAAGATCTAAAATAATTCTATAATAAATATTTTTAAATATTAAAAAATGTCAAAAATGACTTTTTTTGAAAATTCATTTCATAGAAAATTTTTATTTTTGCATAAAATATAAATTTTTCTCAAAATATTTTGAAAATTTCTTTTGTAATAATTAGTTCAAAAAATACTTATTTTCTCATAATACTATTTTTTAAATAAATATTATTTTTCCAAAACCCAATTTATCCAAAAATTCTATCATTTTTGGGGAAATATTACTGTACCAAAAGAACTTTTTCTTAGTTTTATTTTTTTTAAATGTTGTTTTAGAAAAGATAAAGTAAAAAACATTATTTTTTAAGAATGAATATTTTAAATATACAAACCTTGCTGATAACTGTTTTTAAAATTTGAAAAGTACAAAAATAAGTTGCATTTAAAAAGCTACAAGTAGTATCAAACAACTACAAGTTGTATAATTTAAAAATTAAACCAAACAATTGCAACTGCAGTTGCATGCAAGCGTAGTTTAGTTGCAACGTCTTAATTGCATGCATGTGATGGTTGCACTATAACTATAGCTGCAATCTGCCGAACGCACCCAAAATCCTCTCATACATTATAAATCATATAAAACCCCCTGAACTTGTCTTCCTTAAGTATCATGGCTGAAGACATTTTAAGTTGTTAATATACTTCGCATGTGACATATTTTGAACAATTTTGCCTTTCCTGTGAGAATTTTTCCAGTCAGAGTAGATAGATAATAACAAGGGCAGTTTACAGTTTTTAATTTTCCATACATCATTTATGACAATATCCAAAACTTCAGGGTTTTGTTTTGAAAGTGTAGGGGGGTTTATCTGATCTATAAAGTTACAGGGTTTTGTTTTTGAAAGTTTAGGCGGAGAGTTGTGTCTGATTTATTTGAAGTTTAGGGATTCTTTTTGTTCCAATGCCCCAAAATTTGGGGTTTTGTGAAATTTGCCCAAAAATTGAAGGGGAAAAAACTTAACCTTATACAACTGTGATTTTTCTGTTAGATGCGATTTCGTGAATTTCAGAAGAAACACAATTTGCAAAAAATGCAACTGTGAGCGCCCTGCTTATAATGAGGCTGGTGGATTCGATGATCATGTATGGAAAAACCCCAGAACTGCCAAAATCGATAAAGTTTTGAAGTTTAGAGACAATAAGAATGATCTTGATTTCGATGATGATGAAATCGATGCTATGTTACCGGATTATGGAGAGAAAAGAGTTGTCACAGGCAAGACGGCTCGGAGGTAATATCACAGCTGAGAGGAAGGTATTTTGCTGTTATATGCTGTATCATGATTGAAATATTATATAACATTTTGTTCTGTTTTCATGATTCTTTGTTTATTTACGTGGAGTCTTTATTCTAAAAGAGCAAATAGTATCCTATTAAGAAGTTTTGTACCCTTGTTTCTGATGGTTTTTCTTCCTATAGTCGCGGTCAGATGCGTTTGCACGAGGATTAGCCGCACGTATAAGCTTTGGAATATTGAGATAGCTGATGTAAAGATTCTAGCAATTTGTGTTTATCGATTGAAAGAAACCGATCTAAATGCTGCAGTGAAAGCGAAACTTTTTGCTATGTACTAATTTGTTTCATGCTGAAGCTCAATGATTATATTGAATATCATCGAAGCGGCTATTTGAGAAAAAGTGGGGAATATATGCACCTTGTCGTGTGCGATCGATGTAGTTATTATCTACAGATAGATAAACTACTTCCTTGCTGAGAATGGTTTCGTGGATCTTGTGGCCAAATGAGTTCTTTCTGCTCTCAAGGAGCTCTCTCTTTTCTGTACAGAGACTGTATCGTAAGCGCACGAGAGCTTTTTCTTTACTTTCTTCATTTTTCATGTAGTTTTTTCTGTGAAAACCATTTCATAAGTAATTGCAAGGAAATTAGATTAAAAAAACAATCTTTGCAGCCATATTAGAAGGGTGCTGCTACAGAACCCAAAATAGGGGACCCGGGGGGCATGTAAGGTGTCCCCCTGAATGTATGATGTACTGTTCATGAATAGTGCATCATGCATTGGTGGGGTACACCTCAAATGTTCCCTCTTTGAGTCCTCTATTCGGGCTCACATGTTTCACCTTTGGGTCCTCTATTCGTGTCCCTGAGGCGTTTTTGATATCAGAATTCTTTGTACTGATGTGAGTTTCTGAAGGAGATGAGGGTGTCAACCATTCTAGTTGACTGAAGCTGGCTTCCGAGGGAAGATTTCTGGAAGCTTACTATTTTATGGTGTTAAGTGCAGCAATAAATAATATATCTACACTACTACATTAAATTCCTAGTAGGGGTTTTTGAAATATATACCCCTCAAATTTTTAATGTTCACAAAAATGCCCTTAAATCTTGCTACTTACAAAATTGCCTCCGGTTCTCTCATATTGAAATTTCCCCTCTACCTCTTTCACTTACGAATTATAGCAAATCGATTGAAATTTTTTAGAAATTTTGTAATTGCATTGTTTAAAAAGCAACATTCTTAAGTTGGAACAGTAAAAAGACTCAGTATGCTAGTTTTAAAGGCAGTCACAAATAGCAAGATTTAAAGGACAATTATGCAAATAGTAAAGATTTGAGGGGTATATATGCACAAACCCTTTTAAAAATTGTGCCTCGCTTTTTAGGGGCTGTTTGGTTCGTTTCCATAAAATAAAGGAAATGGAATCCAAGGCAAATAACCTTTTCCTAAAATTTTTTTGGATCATCCAGGAATCCATAACTTGTGTTTGTTATGGAGTTACAAAGTGAATATTAAGAAAGCATATCCAAAACCCATGATTGGTTCACCACCAAAGAAAAGGAAAACACCTCAAAAAAAGCTTTCCATAAAAGCTGTTGTGTTTGGTTCAAAGCCCAAGAATAGGAAAGAGGCCAATTGACAGTGTTTACACATACCTGTGGTGAAGTTACCGCAGACTTATTAACATTTCATCACTCAAAGCCACTGCAACGGCTAGTTACGAAATTACTCAGTGACCGTTTTCAACAAACACAAGAGTAAACGGCTAGTAAGGGATGCAACAGCTCAAGAATAAAGTTCACTTGGGGGCCTATATAATGAGCCACCACCAGCTTAAAAAGTCAACAAATAACATCACTTGCATGCTGCAACATCTCAGCCAGGTAAGAAATTTCCAGTCTTCTTATTTTTTTCAGAATCGTAGCACCAAAGCCACTGCAGGTTTTATGGAGCGGCAATGGGACAGCAAAGTAGAGGGTGCCCCATATGAAGTTAGGTGCAAATGCAAACTTCCAACACCCATGAAGCTATGCGCAAATGGAAAAAAAATAGAGGGAGACATTATTGGGGTTGCGCTAAGTTCCCAAATAAGGAATGCAACTTCTTTCAGTGGGCCGACAAAGCGGGCGAGTGCAGCAGAAATAGAAATCATGTATCACAAAGTGAGGACATTGATGAAGATAAAAGGGCAATGAAAATCAAAAAGCTGAAGAGGGAATTGAAAACTGCAGAGCATCAACTAATCATTTGGAAAATGATTGTATTGTTCTTAGTTATAATCTGTGTACTCATCTGTAGCTTTGAAAATATGTCATGTAGTTGCAAAGTGTAATGTGCTATGAAATGAAGTTCACGCATTAGTTAACCAAACAGCTGAGAACTGCAACAACTCAGCTGGGAATTTTAGCTAAGCAAAGTTAACCAAACAGCTGAGAACTGAAGCAAATCAGAGTGAAGAAGAGCTGGAAATAGTAGCTGGAAACAGACTCAACAAATAACATGTTCACTTCCTCATTGCCTATTGAAATAACAACTCAGCACAAACTTCAACTCTGAGAACTGAAGCAGGGAAAACAACTCTGCAAATCACAGCTAAGTAATACTGGAACAAATAAAAACAAAATCCAAACTAACTTATGTACATAGTTATAACTTGTACATAAAAAAACTCTAAACCCAGATAAATAGTGATGCAAAGCTGAAAACTGAGTGCAAAGGAAACACTCAGCAAACCTGTATGCATGGAGCAACTACAACAACTGAGCTGGGATTTTTAGCTAAGCAAAGTTAACCAAACAGCTGAGAACTGAAGCAAGAAAAAAACCCAGCAAAGCAGAAACACAAGAGTTACAGCTTAAAAAGTCAAATAAATGGAAGATAGCAATGGCATACAAGGCTCAGATTACAGCTATATTATCCGTATACGATGCCTCGCCTACATATTGTAATTGCATTGAGGATTGCCTACACATAACAGTTGCCTCACCTAAAAATCACATTAGCAATCTAGATTGCAATCTCATCATGGTAAGCCTTATCCAGACCAATACAATTACTCAGTATAGGCTGCATCAACAAATAAATTCAGCAATCCTCATTGAAATCATCGGGGGCAAATCCATTTTCACGAATAATCTTCTCTAAGAACAGTTTCTGTGCATTTTTCGACTTGATAATGAACCGCCTAGATTCTGTTTCATTGTCATATAGAAAATCCAGCACCTTATCAAGTATTGTCTCAGAGAAATCAGCCGCATGTTCATGTAAAGCCTTGGACATGCGATCAGTCCAATGTAAAATATGTTGGTTTTGGATTGAGTGGGACATGGATTCGATGAGTTCACGCATTAGTGAATCATCCTCTCTACCCTTGCCACCCTTCTTTTTTGAATGAGGTTTGGCATTGGATGTAGAAGTTACCCCGTTAGCCGACTTCACCTTTTGAGAGTGAGGGTCAAGCCTTTCAACACTTGGTGTCTTAGCCCCAAATTGTGACTTGGAGGTCTCAATATCATCATCTTCACAAAGATTGATCGGATCCTCAAAAAGTGGATTAGGCCGATTATTACCAAGTTTCTTACTCACATCTTTGGCATAATTTCCCCTTGCTTGGTCATCACCAACAATCGTGCACAAATCATCGTAGTGCATTAGAGGCGTGTTCAAGTACTCCTTCAACTTTGAGCTATTGCACTTATTATCCTGTGGAATAACAAGATTTAATAAAAAATTGCTCGCTACATAAAAATGTACGCAAATAATGAACCATAAATAAAGCCAGTACCAATCGATACCTTTGTCCACATATCAAATGAATCTGGATCCATTGTCACTATTTTTGATGCCGGATCAAATCCAACACCGCTCATGTTCATCACAGTTCGCATATCAAAAAACTTACTCTTCAAGCTCTTCATATGGTTCATCACATTCTCCTTTGTGAATTCAGTTCCACATTGCTTGTTAACTTCATCTGCGGCCACTTTGTATGCATGCATTTTAAAATTTTTATCAACCTTCAGGCCATCTCTTGCCAATTGAGCAAGAACAGGGATTAGAACATCATCATGCCTGGCAGTCCAATACATGTTATGCACACCCCTAGTGTTGGGAGCCTTGTCTATAATTGTTGACGCCAATCTTCTTTTAGCAGCTACTTTCTTCTTTTTTCGGGATGGCGATATTGCCTCGCCACCAACTTCATTAACCATCTTTGTCGCATGACTCTCTCCAGATTGACAATTACTGTTATGTGGGCTAGGGGTTGCATGGAATGTATGGTGGCTAGTAAGCATGTTCATGTAAGATGTAGGTTGCTGAGTCATATATGCAAAATTACTGTCGTAAGGAGAGAAAGATGGAAATGGAGGGGGCTGGGGAGGGGGAGCAGAGAATGGTGCACGAGGGAATGACATGAAGTTCATGTTCAAGTTTGAAGGAGGAGCTACAGGGGTTTTAGGGGAGGGAGTGTCATCACAATCCTCATTTCTATCACCAAACCCGGCCATGCTTAAAAGGATGAAGGACCTGTTACAATAAAATCACATAGTGAAAATATGAAGAACAAAGCTCATGTTAGACCAAAGGCTCATAATGTAAAGATAAAATCAATCCACCATTAACAAACTTAATAAATACATCCAGTCTTGACGTCAAACTTAAGAAATACAACAATACTGGAAAACCATTAACAAACTTAATAAATACATCCAGTCTTGACGTCAAACTTAAGAAATACAACAATACTGGAAATACAAATATGTCTATTACAAACCACATTCGGTTGTGTCACCGCCACGATATTTATTACAATAGTCTAGCCACATAGCACTTGCAATGTCATCCCTCTTCTCTTTCCATTCATTCCTTGCATCTCTTTCTTCTCTTTGTGTTACATTTTGAGAAAAGTCAACAAGATTGGCACCTTCCCCCTCAGTAGCTATTTCTACATCGTCATCATCAATGGTAATGTCCTCATTTAATAAGTCATCCTCCGGGTCGACTATAGCAATGTAGTTATGGAGTATAGCACAAGCCAATACTATGTCAACTTGGGTTGGAAAAGGATAATGTGGCTTTGCAGTGAGGATTTTGAAACGATTCTTCAACAATCCAAAGGTTGATTCAATTTTAGACCGTAGCGATGAATGTCTTAGATTGAATAACTCTCTTCTGTTATTTATTGGCCTACCCCTGTGCTCATTTAAATGGTAACGTACACCACGATAAGGGGAGATGAATCCAGGCATGGTGGTGTACCCCGCATCGCACAAATAATATTTGCCTACAATTTTAACCAACACATTATCGTAAATAATTAAATTCTTTGTAAATTACAAATGAATATACATTTTTTTCATTAACGAGTAATTACCATCGTAGACTTTCAGGCCATGAGGTTGAGGTCTTGAAAGTGCATCTTGTAGTACTCTATAATCATTTGCAGACCCCTCCCAACCGGCGAGAACATATGAAAATAACTTATTTGGGGTGCAGGCGGCTAGAACATTTTGAGTCACACCTTTACGGCCTCTAAAGCGGGCCACAATGCTAGCAGGAAGCGTAGCGTCAATGTGGGTCCCGTCTATCATGCCAATGCAATCCTATATAATTTTACAAGTTGACTATTAATCAATAGGATAACTATTTTACTCATGTAGATCACTGTATGTTCTTGAGTGTATTACCTTGAAATAAGGATAGTACAAAGGATTGCTAGCAATCTCTGGCGCTAATTCCATTGTTGCTTGCTTCAAGAACCGCCCCCGTATAGAACCAACTGCTTCTAGGCATTTGTTAAAATATCTGGAAATTGTTTCTCCCGATCTTATGAAATGTGATCTTACTATTCTATTTTTTGTTTTATGTCCTAGAATATTAAGAAACATGAGCAACTGTTCTTCAACTTTTACATCACGTGAATCCTGTAGTAGGCCCGACCCTCTCATTATACTGACAAGATTTTCAAATGCATGAGGCCGCATTCTAATATAGTCTCTACAGCTGTGACTATAGCCAGAAAATACACGGCATATGTGGGCATCCCTAGACTCTATTTTCTGTTTTTTCCCCTCCCCATGGTGATAGGTGACAGATTTTCTTCTACAACACATTCTCATTACACATGTCAACACAGTGACGATAGCAGACATAGTAGCATTACTCGATATCCTCATTAACGCTTCGTCATCAAGATCTTCCATCTACAATGAGTGCAAAATTCATTCTTATACATAGACAAATAATGGGACCGAATTTTTAATTCTAATACTTTCAGCGGATATTCAGTATAGTAAAATTATATAACTACACATAGTAAAATTATATATATTAAAATTAAATCAACCACGAACTCATATTCTAAATAAATTTAAACTGTGCCAATATTTTGAGCTAGCCTTCATATACACGTAGGACATCAGCAAGCAAAGATAAACATCTAAATTATGTAAGTATAGAAAACTACAGTTTGACATTTTGAAAAATTCTGGGGAGTAAACTATGCAACAAATATACTCAGTTTTTCCTCACAATATTGGAACTCAGACTCTTCTATAATTGCCTACCTATATTAAGTAAATAGTGACAATTTATTAAAATCATATAAAATTAAAAAATTAGGGAACTGAAGGCTATACCTTATCGTCGGTGTGGAGTAGACCATGATGATCAGAGAAGGAACTTGAACCCCTTAACCCGCCGAACAAGACGGCAGATCTGAAGTTCAGATCAGGGTGGAGTTTCGATTACAAGTGAATCCTTAACCCGCCGAACAAGACGGCAGATCTGAAGTTCAGATCAGGGTGGAGTTTCGATTACAAGTGAATCAGAGAAGATCACCTCCATCAACGAAGGCGACATGCACCATGAAAAGCCCCATCATCAGAAAATCGCAGACTTGTAAAACCCCAACATCAGAAAAATCATTTTGAAATCAAGGGCTACGTGCGGTCGAGGTGTCCCAGCAGGGATCTAATCAACCATTCTAGATCGATTTGTCGCCGATGGATGCCTCGGCTACCTGATTTTTCTCTTGAATCGGCGCGAAACGGAGGAGGGAAACGGAAGAGGGAAACAGAAGAGGGAAAGGTAGAAGAGAAGAGGCAACTGAAGACGAGGCGGTGAGGGTATCAACCACGGGTCAAGTTCTTCGAGTGAAGAGAAAAGGAAACGCTGAGCGTCACGTGGTGTGTCAGATTTCCAGCCCATTTCCTCTCAAAAAAAGTGGAAATGGGAGATCCTAAAAAAGCTACTGTTTGTCAGGTTTTTGGCAAACCTTTTCCTATTAAAAATGGGAAACAAACGCGGTTTTTGGAATCCAAAAAAGCCTAAAATGTTGCTTTTTGTTCCATAACTGCAGTTTTCAAAAAAAAAAAACCCAACCAAACAGCCCCTTAGTTCTTTTCTTGACGTTAATTCGTCCAAACTTATCGCTATTCTCACTCTTTTATTTCTTCCTTTTCCCCTCTCTTACCCATACAGTATGGGAGTACACTTTACAAAATTGATGCGTTAATAGCAACCCAACTATCACACTTGATAACGGGAAGGTTACGTTCTTTATGAAAAAAGGGATTACTTAAATATTGCGCCATAAAATCTTCAATAGTTGTACATTATTCTTCAAATCTTTGAAATTGCGCATCAATCCCTCAGATCATAAGGAACCTTGCAATCTGGTCCCTCGATGACCAAACTAACCCTCAGTAGATTCTTTCTTCGAAGCGTTATTTGCAATTCGACATTCTAAGTTGCACCTTTTTAACTACGAAACCCCACATGTTTACACCCGAAAAACCGAGGATCGCTTCATTTTCCTTGTCCTTCATAGATCTATCAATATCTATGTGTTTGCTATTTTTGATACATCCCATCTTCAATTAGGGTTTGAATGCACCGAATTTTTCCAAAGAAAATTCAGTTATCGCACGCGCATCGCACATGGTGTAATGATAGCATAATGCAGGTAAAGAACAATCAGACATAACCACAACAAAAACATTAAAGTGACTCAGCCCCATTCTCTACCCTCCCGAATTGATTTGGTGACCAAACACTCAGAATTTTCAAGGAGATCGACGCTAAAACGACTCAGCTGGAGCTCAACAGCGTTACATAGAAGTCTATGTCCATGCAATAACAAAACAAAGTTTACATACAAGTCCACGTCCACGCGCTAATAACAGAACAAACTCGTTCATTATTTGGCCGAAAGCGAAGGATGCAACAGCGGACCAGGCATAAACTGTCTCTATTATTAGATTAGATAGATTGCGAGAAAAGAACTCTGAAAACACAGAGAACAAAGTAATCACGCATCACAGGAGCAGATGGATACCGAAGGAAGCAGTGCAGAGTACAAGCCCAAACATACCGAGGAAGTAAATACCCCTGCAACACACAAAGACAACGCACAAGTTTGTGTAACGTTAAAAGCGAAATAATAGGAAAGAACGCCGTAACATTCTTACCCCTGAAAGAAATATGTACAGGTGATATTCAAAAGAAATCCAACATTTTCACCGTTAGATGATTATTTAGAATTACCCCTGAAAAAAGTATGTACAGGTGATATTCAAAAGAAATCCAACATTTTCACCGTTAGATGATTATTTAGAAACTTATTACATGCTACAAGCCAACCACTGCCCTAAGAGGTTCTATAGAAACTCGCTACATTAGACAACAGTTGTCTCAGATACCAAGTTTTGTACTAGTATTTTGGAGGTGAAGTTGTAATTGCACGTGAATAAAAATACTCTTCCCTTGCATCTGGCAGATATATGTACTTTTATTTCATTTTTTGGGTTTTTTTCCTTCTAAAGATCACCTTAGAAATAAGGTAATTATATGTAAACCGTATTCATTTTCAATTTATACATAAAACCACATTTAAAGCTAGTTTTTGTTGAAATCAACACATAAAACCACCTTTAAAGCTGGTACCATCGGTCAAAATTTTCACTACAAACCCTTTTGGGTTTTTCCCTGCTAAAGATCTCCTTAGAAATAGGGTAATTATATGGAAAACATTTCATTTTCAATTTATACATAAGCCACCTTTAAAGCTAGTTTTTATTGCAATCAACACATAAACCACCTTTAAAGCTGGTACTCTCACTCAAAATTTTCACTAAAAACCCAAAATTTCCATTAAAGAACTCACCCTTCAAAGCACGTGACTCTTTTCCCCCCTAAGTGCAGGTGTTGATAGGATTCTAACTCGGGTATGTTGAATTTGAATTTTTAAAATTATTTCTGGTTTTTTAGAGAAATTTAAATGGGAGGTGGTTGATTGCAACAAAAATCCACTTAAAGGTGGTTTATATACACATTGAAATTTAAAGGTGGTTTAATCACCTTGTTTTTAAGGTGGTTTCTCGGAAAAACCCTATTTTTTATTGTTTAAGGGAGCTGGGGGTTTATATACTATTATAGACCGTTTTTCATATCAACTTTGTTTATTTTTCCTTTGGCTTTATAGAGTTTTGGCTTGACAATAGAAACATGCACAAAAGTAAATCAACAAAATCTTACAATTTTAGTTTGGCAATATAAAAGCCATGATCAGGCATGCAGAGTAAAGAAGCACTATGATTGGCAATAAAAATATAAGATTAGGTACACCAAATAATGCAGCAAAACCTTAAAATCTTGGCAATAAAAATATAAGATTAGGTACACCAAATAATGCAGCAAAACCTTAAAATCTTGGCTTGCCAATGAAAAAAAAAATCATGATGAGGCACATACAGTAAAGCAGCAGAAGACGTTCGTTTCACACTTGAAAACATTGATTACACATGAAACTTTTGAACAACAGCCCTTGTTTAAGAACTTGATTTAGAATGAACCAGTAGAATTAAGTGCATAGCCACACATATGCTTAATATACAAAAGATTTAAAAGAAGGTGCATAGCTCAAACAACAGTGGTGAATACCAAATTCTCAGTTTTTAATGGTTGGATTAATTTAGGAAGAGAAAGTGAGAGCAGCAATCGATAAATTTCTGATAGATTTTGCATCGGCGAGACCTATATTCTTCTGCATAATGTGTGGTTGTGTCCCTCTACATCCCTTTCTTACTTTGCTACTTGCATTCGGTTGCTCCGGAACACAACGATTCATATTGAAACTCACGTTGTTAACCTCGACCAGCAACATGTAATAAAATGTTCTTGTTAATTCATTCAGCGCTTGCTAAGGGCCCGTTTGTTTGCACAGAAGTAACTGTGAAATAGCAGAAGTAGAGGAAGTAGAGTCTACTTCCGTTACTTCCAGGCAAAAATGTATGTTTGTTTCTCTTAAAAATCTACTTCCGCTACTTCCTTAAATGATGACATGGCGTCTATGTGGCATCTACATTTCCTTAATATTTTTCCGTCCCAAAATGCACTGAAATAGGCAGAAGTTGATATAGAGTGGGGTCCACCATGAAAAAAAGATCCTCAAATATATAATTAGGGAGTGATAAGATTATTTTTATAACCAACTAGAATTCTCCGTGCAAACAAATAGTTACTTCCGCCGCATCAGTGCCCCCCCCCACCCACGTCATCATGTGATATTTGTGTTCTCTTCGAAGGTATAGTTATCTGATGGCTTTCTTTTTTTTAATAAATTCAACAGATATTTAATGTGCTTGTTGCAATTATGCTGCGCATCTCATTATCCTCGTACTGCATTATTTATCTGATGATTTGCTTTCATTCATTTTCTTGTTATTGCACGAAATAGCAGGCATAAGAAACTGAAATCCTCGTACTTGACTAGTGCCATAGTTTATTATGTTTCTTTCTTGTTTGCTGCAGATGCTCCCTTGCTATCCTCAGTGTTTCGTGTCATACTCCTTGATCCAAAAATGTAAGATTACCTTTATTATGAAGAGGAAAAAGTTCTACTTCCATTACTTCTAAAATATATGAAACAAACAAAAAAAATGCTATTTCCGCTACTTCCTACTTCATAGTTTTAGAAGTTACTTTCATAATTTACTTCTTACCTCTAGTACTTCCATTATCCAAACGGGCCCTAAGCTAAACTACCACGAATTTGAATCCTTCCCAATGTCATCTCAACAGAAAATGTATGTACCAGTTTCCAAGCAATAATCGTCCGAGCATATCTAGAGATCAATTCTAATCCATTCCTAACATATAACTAAAACTATAATTATTTAAAAAAATAAAGAATGAGTAGAATCTCACCCAAGCTTCAAACGGTTATCGGGGATACCAGTAGAATAGCCCTTGAAATAAAAGAACCTCCCAACGGTGTACAGCAACCCTAACCCCGTCGCGATAAGAGGGTGCTGGAATCCCCCAATCAAAATCGTGGCGAAAAACACCGGCATCGTCTCCAGCGAGTTCTGATGCCCTCTCTGCACACAATTAAACAGCTTTGCATCCTTGTTCTCCGATTCGATCGCGTACATCGTCGGGTAGAAAACCTTGTACCTAAATCAAGAAAAACCAATGAGATGAAATCAACATATTAGATATAGAGAAAAGGGTTAACTGCACTTTAACACCCTAAATTGTTTAAACTCAAAAAAAAAAAAAGCTAAAATTTCATCCATGTTTTAAGTCTCATATGTACTCTGAAATTTAAGTTTTTTAAAAAGCCATCAAACGATTATTACGTGATAATATTTGTAATTATATAACCCCTAACTGGGGGGAAAACCCCTCTTTCTCGTTACTTTTAATAAAAAAACAATCAAAATTGCTACTAATACATGACAGAAGAACCCCGTTAACAATATTCACAACAAAAATAAAATAAAAACCAAAACCCATAAAATTTGAGGTGATCGATAAAAAAGAAAGGATCTTTCTCATCAAAAGCTAAACTTTATGACAAAATTTAAACTTTAAAGTGCCATGAAAATTTTGGTAAAAAAACAAATAAACTTTGGTAAAAAAACAAATAAATCCTAGAAGAAGGAAAAAATGAAACTTGTCAGCTTACTTCTTTCGAGCTTTTCCCACTTGAAAACTCATCCAGATATTGAGAAAGCAGTACAGAACAAGAACGAGGACGACGTAGCCGTACTCTTTTGGGATCTCCACTGCTACTGCCATTTTTTTTTTCCCTTAATTTTTTCCCCTCTCTCTTTTTTCTTATGTTGAGTTCGGAGAAGATGGTGGGCTTTTTAAATAGTAGTGGATTGGATCCAAAGGGTAATGGAGAAGTTAAGGATTTAGAAAAATACAGTCGAGGACGTTAGAGGAGGGGAGTTATTTAACTACACCCGAGGGTTAAAAATATAAAATTGAGGGGGGTAGGTGCAAATTCTAGAAAATTCCGTGGGTGCTCTGCTCAGAAAGCGGAGCCCCGTGGACTGGAGTGTTTCTTGGGCGACAAGCGAAGGAGCTTCTTTGCTCGGCGCATGCGTCATTCGACATTTGTCATCACCATGAAGTATTCAGTGGATTTATAGAATAAATAATTAGATTGCAATACTTGAAATTATTTTTGGATTAATTAGGTTCGGGTTATTTGAGATATGGGCTCTTTGTTTCCATGCATTTTGTATTATTGCATAAAAAAGAGACCCATGAGTTAAAAGTTATAGAGTTTTAGCAAATATATCTTGTTTTTTATTTTTTTTTTCTGTACGGATTTTGAGGTTGCTAGGATAAACGCATCAAAAATAACTTCATATAAAATTATATCAACCAGATTTGTGAATTTAGTCATGTATCCTCAACTAAATTCATGTACAACAAAATAAGTTTTAACTGTATTCTATCACTCACGCAAATACTCTTTAATATCCATCATAGACGAGCATGATTATAATTATGGATTATTTAAAAATCTATTACATAATCAACATTAATCTATAAACCAAACAACCACTAATAAATTGGTAACATTAAGATTACTGATTATAACTATACGAATAACTGTGGGGTCTATTTAATTTAATTTTTTTCATTCTCAAGATTAACCGTGTAGAAGTATAGTCATAATAGTCATGCAATTAAACTAGGATCACACGTGCAATTATATCATGTTTCTTTGCGAAGGCTATAGTCCGATTTTTTTATTATCTTCGTGAAGAACAATTATTTTAGGTTTTATACCAAAATTTAGTTATCATTTAATTTGGAGGGAATATTTAATTTAACTTAAACCTTTTAATGGACTTCTTTCTAGGTATAGCGTTTTTCTCTAAATTTGTTTAAATCCAGATCTAGTTCCCAAACCCTCTTAAACCTCTTCTTTAAGCATATATTTTTTTAATATTATTTTGGATGGAGGAGCGAGAAGAACGACTAATTAGAGATGGAAGTATAATTCATCATGTACAGTTAACAACTAAGTAACCCGAGTCAGCAATTTTACCAACTAATAAAAAAACTAATTTAAAATAACTAGCAATATTTGGCCGGGATTAAGTAGCAATTTCAATTACTTCGGAGACTAATTCAAAAGATTAAAGTTGTAGACCATATGGGGAGAAAAAAAAACAATCCTCAAAAACATTGAAGGGTTATTTAGACATTACTCCATTCTATGATTTCTATCTTCAATAATTTCATATTAGTCTCTCAAATCTTTGCAATTGCTTATAAGTCCCTTGATTCCTTCAGATCTTACGGTGTGTTTGGGAGATGACTTAAGGAAGGGAAGGAAGAGGAACTTTTGGCTCAAATTTTCCCTTCCTTCCATTCCCCCTTATCACACCTCAATTTGGGGTGTAACATTTTGGCTCAAATTTCCCCTCTATTCCCCTCCTTCACCCTCCTAAATAGAATTCCCAAACAAAGTTAAAATTATATTTATCTTCTCCTCCCCTTTCTACTCTCTATCCAAACAGGTCATTAAGATTGTTGATTTTTAATCCCTCAACGACCAAAATACCCTCCCTCCTTCAACTTGAATCCCTTGAATCCTAAAGATAGCTCCCGCTACAGCATGAACCTCAAAGCCAATCAGAGGTGGGGGAAAAAAACACTAACTTCAAATATGTATGTTTCTCATTCAAAGGTAATATATGGGTTTAAAAATATAAAGTTAATTACTTTTAAAGCACACAAACCCTAGGATCTATCTAATCAATAATCTCCAAAATTTGTGAATAAACTGACACCATACACTTAATGAGATAGTAGTGTATAAATTGATATTGTACCCTGAAAAATTCATCAATGACCCAAAATATATGACCAACATGAGGGACATGTAAGGTTTCCCCTTCTATTGCATAATGAACTAGTTATCATTAATGATGACCAGCTCATTATGCAATAGGAGGGGGACACCTCATCTGTCCCCCCTATTGGTCCCATATTTTTGGGTCTATGTAGCAAACCTTTTGTGGTGGTTTATTATTTCTGTTTGCAAGTGGGGCCCAGTTGAATACGATAATATATGGCAAAACTAGCGGCTACATGGAGACTTTTGCAGATAAGGCCCGATCTAATAAGATACTTACATTTCTCTATGGCAAAATTGCTGGGCACGAGAGCGTAATGTACTCGTAAGCGCCGTGTGTAGCTCCGCCCCTGAGCTCAACAACCTCCGACCAGCCTCCTTCATCAGCAACCTCCTCCTGGATCGTCTTTAATGTTTGTTCAGGATTCTAAAAAGTTCTTGTCCTCTTTGCAATTGGCTTTGATTCTGATGAGTTAAGAGGGGGACGAAAAGGCTAGCAACGAGTTGGAGAAGGAGGGGAGGTATTTTTGGTCATTGAGGGAGCAAATTGCAAGAACCTTAAGATTTCAAGGGCATCTGAGCAATTTCCCAGATTTGAGAGGCTGATATGGAATTACTGAAGATTGAGGGACTAACACCTAAATAACCCAATAGTGAAGGTTTTAGAGGACCAACTACTGAAGATCTGAGCAATTTCTGTTCAGCGCAGCAAACACCCCGGCGCCGCCGCGCTTGATCAAAGAAAGTCTTTTGATGGGATACATCGAAGAGGCTAGAGAAAACCATGTCAAAAAGAAAGTCGAAGAAGGTAAAAACCCCAACAAAAACCTTTTTAATTTGTAATTTTCCCTTTCAATTTACCCAACTTGATTTATTTATTAATTTATCTTTTTTTTAAACTTGAATTAGTTCTTAAATAGGTTGAATGTCCGATTACTTAACGAAAAAGTGGGAAAGGGAAAAAAAAATAAGCCAATTTAGAATGAAAGTACTTAATAGTGGGAACAGTTACCTGTTTGATCAAATGCCACAAAGAAGTTTGGCAGCTAATTACCTCAACACAGTACTAAGCATAAGCAAATTCTTCCACATTGAGAATTTAAGAACAAGAAATCTGGTATGGGATGATTATAAACTTAAAATAAGTTGTAAGCAAGATGGAAGACTGAGGCCTCAGTTTGGAACACGGGAATGAGTGGGAACGGAATGACTATTCCCACGTCTCATTCCTGCGTACCAAACACAGCCTCTTTTTGGAAGCTAGAATGCATGTTGTTACTTCCTCTTATGTGGGAATGAGCACTTCCAATGAGATGGTAGCGAATGGGCATTCCCACTTAAGTGGGGGAAAAAATTGCATAACTTCCAAATATGCCCATTCCTACGTCATTCTCTAAATTGCACATGCACATGAGAATGGAAATGAGCATTCCATTCCCACATTAATTACATTCCATTCCTTGCTTCATTCCATTCTCACTTCATTCGTTTCCTGCATACCAGATGAGGCGTTAGATTTTGGAGGTTGAGGTGATGTTTGTAAAGTTTCAGTGGATAGTAGAATACATATAGCTATAATCAGTGAAAGAGAGATTCCAATAAATTATAAGAAAAGAAAAGAAAATATAGGAGGGAGTAGAATTAGTGGACACCATAAAACTCAATCATTGTTGAAACCCATATCAGCAAATCTTCAGTTCACAATTTTTTATGACTGTGTGCGCAACTTTATTTATGTTTACACAAGTGTTTTGTTGTTATTTGTATTGAAAGAACCATGAAGAGTGAAAGAATTAAACATGCGAGCGATTGAAATGATCCAATAGCCCTGAGCCTCAAATTCTTAAGAACTTGAGTAGTGAACATGGTATGTTCAAATCATGACCTATTATCCTCGTAATGCCTAGGCATCATTTTAGAATTTTCATTACTCTATGGTCTCAACTTCTGCTATTTCATTGATAATTTGATACTGGGGCATTGGAAAACTGTGATACTGGACATAGAGCAAAATTGCAAACGAAGTGCTAACTGACCCAAATTATGTAAAGTTGTAGCAATGTATGTGTCTCATGTACATATACAAAAATATTTTTGCTTGAACAGAAATTGTTTTGTACATAATGATTTTTATATATATTTATTTATATATAATATTTATATATATTATAGTATTATATATATATATTATATATATATATTTATATATATATATATATATAATATATATATATATATATATATATATATATTATATATAGTATTCATATATTATTTATATATCTTATATATATATATATATATATATTATATATATAGTTATATTTATGTATCATATTATAATATATAATGTATATATATGTATATATATATATATATATGTAATATATGTATTCTTGTATATATATATATTTATGCTATTATGTATATATATATATGAGTATAGTGTCATTATATAATATATATATATGTATATATATTATAGTGTATTATATATATATATATATATAATATATGCTAAAGTTGTAGCAATGCTATGTGGCTCTCATGATACATATCCTAAAAATATTGCTTGACCAGAAATTGTTTGCGTACAAAATGATATATAATATATATATATATATATTATATATATATATATATATTATATATCTATATATATATATATATGTATATATATTATAATATATATATAAGTATCTTATATATATATATATATTCTTATATAATATATATATATATATAAATTTATTTATATATATATATATATAGTATTTGTTGTAAAATCTTAATCATTAGAAATAGGTTTCTCACAGGCGACCGTAGTCTAACTTAACTTTTTTCCCTTCAGAGGTTATTTGTTTGCCAAGTGCTAATTTCATTTCTGCAGCCCTACGTAGCAAAATGAAGCAGAAGGCACTGAAACAGTGCGAGCAATACACAGCAAAGTATGCTGAGTGTGCTGTGGGAAAAACTATATCTGTAGTATGGTCGTGTCGCAAACAAGCAAAAGAGTTGAATGAGTGCCTTCATCAATTGTAAGTTCTTACCTATATTATATCAACAACAGATTGCATTGAACTTCAGATTTTTAGCTGAAATCGTAGTTGACATCAATATATATTATATTGATACCTGTGGCAAAGAGAATTTAGGTCTAATCATTTATAGGTTATGTTATTTACCTGTGCGTTTAAAGTTTTGACAACTAGCTTTTTTATTATGAGAAAATTTGTGTTCTTTTCTTGCGATAGTTAATGCTTTTATATTTAAGCCTTATCCGCGTTGATTACTTAGCCATAGCTTGAAGTGTTTCAAAAACTTTCGCATAAGTGCCATTGTTGCATAGGCCGGCATCTTTGAGCTTTTCAGTTGCATAGAGAAAAAAGGCAGTACGATATAAAAGAGATGAAAAAGAATCCGAGAAGAATAAGAATAGAAAGCAGAAAAATATAGAAATCAGAAAATTATTGAAATATAGAAGAAAGAAGTAGAGAAGGATTTAGATATAAGGACACTTCAGCAATCTCTGTTTTCCCAGATGCATAATCAGTGTACACTTAAACTATTGTCATAGCAGGAGGTTTATTCTGGGACAACAAGATGATACTAATCATGAGATTCTTAGATAAATAGAGTACTCCTTTTTATCACTGATGTTTTCATTTCTTGTTGTCTAACCGCTTGACTGAATCTGTGAAGGTGCTAAAGTTGAGGGAATTTTTATTAACTATTGGTGTTCCTAGCTGTAGTGAAACAGTGGTTGGTTTGTATTTTCATTCTTTCTGTGTTGAAGGCTTAATTAGTAACTTTAGTTTCTGATTGTAAAGATGAGAATAACAATGACTAGTTATTTTAGTTTCATATTTTATTCAAACCTTGGCTATTGCTGCAAACCTTGTGAAAATGCAAGTACTTCAATTATTAGAATCAAGGGTTAATTGCAAATGGAACACCTGTAGCATCGTTATTATGAACTTATACCCCTCTAGTTTTACTTATGCAGATAGACCCCTTGATGATAATTCTTTTTACTCCTTTTACCCTCAGAGAAAGAGAAACAATTTTCTCGACAAAAAAAGATCCCTTGAGGGTAAGAGTCAAAAAAATCTGCAACTACAAGAATAAAACTATATGGGTAGTAAGTTTAAAACAACGATACGGCAGGGAGCCTGTCCCCTATTAACCATAGAATCAATTCTGAAAGCTAAAGTTGTGCATCTCATCATTTTGTTATCATTGTTGGTTCTTGGCAGTACAAACGATGGTGTATTGGAAGAAATGAAGAAAAATTACATGCTAGAGCAGCAGGGGAAGCAAGGATAGCAATGACATTTCCACAAAATCCTGATGAAAGGAAGTTACTTCTTCAGTTTGCATATACCTGGCTTCCTAATCCTCTCTGATCTGTATTAGGGTAACGATCGAGTGTTTTTTGCCCGGTAGTCTGAGTTATTTAAAAAAATTTGCAGTAATTTATTCTGGTTGGAAAGTTCCTTTCTCTTACGTTTCTTGAAGAACATCGGAGTTGATTATGAGTCTGCGCTCAGCTTATTAGTGTCCTTTTCTTTTTTATTAGTTGTCTATGTTTCGACCTTTTCTTTTTTTTAATTTTTGGTTAAAGTTATGTCAAGCCTGAGATTTGCAATGTATACTTTCTGCACCTTATTTCTCTGTGGATAGCATAGTTGAGAATGGCATGTTGTATGGAGATCCTTATTTTACTTCAGGAAAAAGCTACTGGGTTCATTTGCGCATAATGTTGGCTGGTGTCAGCGGCGGAGCCATGAATTTTAGCGGGAACCTAGAAATAATCAAACACTACAGATAACAATTAAAAATGGGTGTTGCTACAGGGACCCAAATAGGGGACCCAAGACATGGGACAGGTGAGGTGTTATCATCCGGTTGCATGATGTATTGTTCATGAACAGTGTATCATGCAACCGGATGGTGACACATCACCTGTCACATGCCTTGGGTCCCCTATTTGGGTCCTTGAGGCATTAGTGATTAAAAATTTTAACACTACTGAATAGTATCTCAGCATCATTATATAGTAAGATTTTCAAAATCATATTTCCAATTATAGTAGTGTTTACGATAGCGTTCCACTTGCATTTATTTGTTGAAATCATTTCATTTCTTAAATCTTCAATATTTTGAAATTAGTTCCTCAGATGATACAATTGCTATTATGTCCCTCGAATCGTGCCAGTTCTTTTGAATAGGTCCCTATAGTTGGCTCTAGTTAAGAGTTGAAGGGAACGTTCGTTCTGAACTAGCATTTGAGAGGGGCTTTGCAGATATACCCCCGTGTTTTAATAAGTTGAAACCCATTTAATACCCATTTAAACTTAATTGGGTTACTTTAACCCAATTAAGATCCAAAACCGTTTTAAATTTATTCTTCTCTAGGCGCTAGCTCTTAACCCCTAACCCATTTACAACATTTTCCTCCTCCCTTATGCCTCTAAAAACTGCAGAATACCTTCAATGATAACCTTGAAAATGAAATTTGAGCGAAATTGAGGAGAAATTGGAGGTATTCGGGAATAAGAAGGGGAGAAGGGTTGCTGGAATTGTTGCAGAAGGGTACTACTGTAATTGACCTTCTGGGTTTAGCTCATAACCCAAGAGGCAAGAGTTTGACATATTTGACAGAAAAACAAGCAGAGGGACCAATTATACGAACTAACATGATTTGAGGGACTGAATCGCGATTTCTATTATTTGAAGCCCTAATTTCAAAATATTGAAGAATGTAAGGGACAAATATGATTAAAAAACCCAAAAAAGGGGCTTAGTTAAAGAAATGGGGCTTTACACTTTTTTTCATTTAGCCACACATTTAACATTATTAGCAATTATTAATACCTTGTATTTATTTTGTCAAATTCAAGGAGGGGCTTGGGCCCTACCGAGCTCTATGTGTCTCCACCCCTGGACGTAGGCCTATATATTTGGGCCCAAGGCCCGGGCCCGGGCATGGCCAGGAAATTCGGGCCGATCCGGGCTTCGGGCCTGAGCTTGGCCAACAAAAGGGAAAGGCCGGGGTGGCTCGTACTAGGCGGGGAAACAGGCCGGGCCGGAATGGCCTGGCCCGAGGGATCAATGTGACCGTTTAGCTGCGTCAGCCCTACCCGGTCCGAATGGTCATAACGGCCATTTTTGCGTTTTTGACCAAAATACCCCCAAAACGGTCAAAAAAAGGCTAAAATTTGAGGATATTTTGGTCATTTTGGCTAGGGATTGCCTCTATAAATAAAGGGAGCTTTTATTTATTTTTCTCATCCAAAACTCATCTACTTCTCTCTAATTCTCTCTAATATTTTCTTATTCTCACTTTTGCTCTCTCATTCTTCAATCAAATGACTTCCTCCTCTGGTTATGAAGGACAAATCCAAACTCCCGATATTGAAACGAGTCCTAATACTCCTACTACATGAGCTACAGTTACTCCTACCGATATTGATACCGAATCCGATGGCGATAATTTTACACTTAGAGCTCCTAAAAGGTCGAGATCCGATGTGTGGAACTTCTTCGAGAAGATAGAAGTAATCAGGGATCAACACGGTAGGCTTCTCACCCAGAATGCTAAGTGTGCGTTGTGCGGTCATATTTTTCAAGCTTATCATAAAAGCGGCACCAACCACCTCAAACGTCATTTAGAAAAGTACAACAGAGGTCAGACAATGCCTCAAGGTGATATCCGATAATTTTTACTCTCCTAATCCTCATCCTCTGGTAGTCTCGGTAGTTTGAACTATAACGCAATTAAAGCTAGGAAATGCGTCATCAGGCGTATTGTTCTTAAAAACATTCCTTTTAAATTAGTAGAAGATAATAAATTTGAAGATATGATTACAGATGTTTTTTATCCCGCATTTTAAAAAAAATTCTTGTCAATCTTGTCAACGTGATATTTTTGAAATATTATCACAAGGAACAAGCAAAAACAATTTCTTATTTTCAAATTTTAAACTGTAAATTTTCAAACCGGTTATTTATGTATCACAACACACTAGATTGATGATGTTGGCAAATGTTTAAAAGAATTATTTCTTTTATTGCATTTGAAGATTGACATAGTGATATTAATATTGCAAATTTAATAATAGAAGAACTTATAAAATTAGAAATTTCAGAAAAAAATATTTTCTCTTTCACTAGATAATGCAAGTAATAATAATGTAGTTGTTGATCATATCACATTATCTTTGCTATTGTCATGTCATGGTGATATTTTTCATATTAGATGTAAGTATCATATTTTAAATTTAATTGTTCAAAGTACATTTTGTGAAATTAAACTCATCGTAGAAAAGGTTAGGACAATAGATTATGCTCATAATGCTTCTGAACAAAGACTTAAAAGATAAAAACAATTGTGTAAAAGAAAAAAATTTTAAACCCGGATTAATTCCAAAAGATGTTGACCATAGGTGGAATTCTATCTATGCAATATTAAATGTAGCAATAGAGTATAAAGAAATTATAAATGATTTTAGTACTTTCTATACTTCTAGTTCTAGCTTTGATAATATGTATGGAATAACTAAGGATGAATGGTTAGTTATATATAGTGTAAAAAAGATGTTACAAGTTTTTTATGATGCTATTATATTATTATCCAACTATTATTCAAGCTGCTTTACAAGTTTTAAATATTCATTTTTTTAAAAAAATTATCGTATGGATAATTATTTTGGAAATATGATTTTTCAAATGAAAAGTAAATTTAATAAGTATTTTAAACATATTCCTATTATTTTTGGTTTGAGGATTCTTATTGATCCATGTTTGAATGATGTTGGCCTTCGAAATTTGTTCAATTCTTTGTATGGTAACATGATAATAGACACTGATGATGGTCAAACTATTACTGCTCTTACTCATCATAATACTATTAGAACTTATTTTCAAAGACTATATGATGAGTATACAGGTATATATGGTGTAAGTACACATCAGCCTATAGCTTATGCTTCTACGAGTTCAAGTCGGGGCAAAAGGTAAGAGTTTTGATAGAGAATTATTGATAGCTCAGCTAACTAGTGGATCTGGATCTAGATCTAGATCATCAATGAAAGTTTCTGAAATTGAACAATATTTAACTGCATCTTTAGTTAAAAGTCAAAATAATAGTTTCGATATTTTGCAATGGTAAAGAGTATATGGAACGATTTCATATCATATACTTCCCATCATGGCTTGTGACTTATTAACAGTGCAGGTTTTTACGGTAGCTTTGGAATCCGCCTTCAGCATATCAGGACGTTTGATCAACGACCATAGAGCATTGCTAGATCCGTCCATACAAGAGGTAATGTGCCTACAAGATTGGTGGAGGTACGAGAAGAAAGCTCAAGGCATAGATTGGATGGTTAGTATTGAACATAAACATGAAGAGTTGGGAATAGGAGATAAAGATAAAGAGTGAAATTTTTCATTAGTTTATAATTTTTATTTCTTAGCTAAAATTTGTGATAAATTATTTTGTAAAGAGTTGCAAATGATAGTGATATAGATGAGCATGTGCCAACCTAGTTGGAATGCATTCATCTATTGTGGTGCAACAAATTCCAAAATAAATTTGTAATTGTTAGTGATTATTAATAAAGAATTTATTTTTATCATTTTAATTTCCATGATTTTTTATATTTGAAAATTATATAATTACAAGTGATTAATAATATGATTGATTTTTTATCAAAATTTCGCTTAATTTATTGTTATTTACTCTTGAAAATTTTTAACAAAAAATAACATTTTAAGCAAAGAAAAAAATGACAGGGTAGGTCCGGTGCCCGGATCGCTCAGGCCGGGCCCGGGTCCGGATCACAAGTTTTGTCCAGTCCGGGCTCGGTTTGCCGGGCCGGCCCATTTAGATAGGCCTACCTGGATGGTTTGCCGTTAAAATGCCATACATTCAAATACATGTATATATGTTTTCTACACGTCTATACATCATAGCTAATGGCTCGAAATAGTTAGAAAAACAAGCGTGTTTACAAAATCGTGTAGCTTCTCTTTTGAAATGAATATTAAATCTACTATTTTTAAACTATTTGCTTTTGTTACAACCTTCCAAAATTTATATTTAATAATCTTTTAGAGTTGTATTTAGAAGTGTATTTACAAAATCACATAGCCTTGTATTTGAAATTGCACCTCCGTTATATTTAATCTATTTTGCTTTAATAACGAGTCAACGACATTTTGGAGGTGTAACAATGTCTAAACGAACATATATGTAGAAATTGAATGCCATGTTAGTGAAAACAACATGCTATTTCATATGTTTGCCTGAACGTATTCACCCAATGTACTAATACTGAATATAAAATTTAAAGTCACAGTGGCGAAATTTTAATCTCCTTACAAAAAGAAATTAGGGTAAATTACACTTAAATATCATATAGTTTTCCACTTATTACAATTAAGTTGTGTTTTATTGAAAAAACCATAAAATTTTTAAAATTTACATGTTACTACCATCGATCATATCATGCAAATGTGGAAATTGTCACCCAAATGTTTCTCGATGATACTTACATGGTAATTTTAGAGCTTTTTTAAACTAATATTATTTGTTAAATTTGCTACTAAGCCAACCAAATTTCCTTTTCAAACTTTTCTCAATTCAACTTTAAAATAGAGTTGGATATTTTTGATGAAAATTTAACAAA